TAGGAATCAAAGGGAAAACGAATAAACAAGCATTGGCATAAATTATGAGAATTTGAACAGTTTATGACAAGAACTATAACTATATGTAAAACAGCACTAAATGAGTAAGTGAAACTATCAGGTCCAGTTCTGAATCTTGAGAAATACAATTGAAAAGAAGCTTAATCACCAAATTGCCACATGACACATTGGCATTTTCACTAAAAGCATGAAAGTGTCCAGACTCTCCAAAGCACAAGCAAAAGGGCAGAACTCACCAAATCGTTCGAAGATAGTCTTGCATTTTCTAAAACTCTCGTCAATTTTGGGGAACTTCATGATAATACTATCGAACGATTTCAGTGAAGTTCCATGCGACGCTCTCTGCTGCATAGCATCAACCATCTTTGCCTCCAGCTTCGAACCATGGAAACTCCGCTTGTGGGTGTCATGCCGTCCAAGCACAGCCCCCATGCTAGCAGTTCAGATAGTGACCCCGATATTTTTTTTTTCTTTCAACCGAAGAAGCCCCCGATCAGATACACACGGAGCAGCTGAAAATCTGAAAATGAATAGCAATCAGTTAAGCATCATCACTCATGCATGACAGCTGTTTCAAGTAGAATAATGTTCTGCAAGGAGTGGAAGCAATCGAGACGCCGAACAGGGAGGCTGTCTGAGTAACAAGAACAGGATTTCACCATCATAATCGCGCCCCGTATGCAATTACGAGATGAGATATTAACAGTAGAAACATATACGTCCACAGGAGACAACAGAGAACCTTAAAGAAAAATAATATCAAGATTGAACGCAAGGAAAAAGGGAATAGCAGCCAGTTCCCTCTGCCCGATTCCACTCTGAGGAAAAGAGGAATAGCAGCCAGTTCGTTGTCAGTGTACCAACGAACCCACCAAAACAAGTCAAGAAACAAAGATCGGTGCGAGCTAGCGCGGAATCGAACGGCGACGAGAAGGGAAGAAGATTGCAAAGGCGAGGAGCGCTTGCCTGGACTGGACGCCGTCTCCTGGCGGCACCAAAAGAATCCGGGAGCGGGATCGGCGATGTGAGCTCTGCGCGGAGTCCGCCGGGGTTGATAATCGGTCGACGAGGGAAAGAAAGGCGCGAGCTTTCGCCTTCAGGAGAGGGGGGAATCCGCAGGGGGATTATTCGGGCCGCCTGCCTGATGAGCCAAGCAGCAGGAGAAACTGATGAGAAAGAGAGAGGCGTGCTGGGACTGCTGGCTTGGTGGGAAGAGGCAGCAGAAGCAGGAGCGGCACGGCCGGCGTTGGCCTCAGGTGTTCCGCCCTTCGGGAGGCCGACAGGTGGGTCCAGCGTGCTGGGCGGTGGCAATGCATCTCCCCAGCTTTGGGCTTGGGCGTTGGGATGACCGACCGATGACTAGCCGAGCCAAGGTAGCACGCGGCGTGCGTGCTGTTGAGTGACACCTGGAGACTGCAGACTGGAGCGGTCAAATATTCCTCCTCACCAAGTCAATAGTCACCAGTGACCACTCCAATGCAGCCGCCTCCGCCGCCAGATCACCAGCATGTTCGGCAGCTCTGAATTGGCGGGCAAGAGCTGGGGCTGGACCAGCCACAACAACCGGCCAATTCCAGTAGGTTTAAAACGACTGATTTAACAATTTCAAATTCAAACTGATTATTGGCGCCAACAACAGGTGGTTTTCATATAATGACGCCAAACCACAATGCACGTAAGGTTATTTACGACACATTTGCAATCCGCAATTCACGGTTAAACAAGTTACAGGTTCAACCAACAATTCATAATCCATTTGTTCCATCCATACAACACAAAGATCATACACTACAAATACCACAGTAGGCATATATGCAGCACAAACATTGTGGCCTTCGATCCCACTAACCAAAATGCACGCATACCTGCAACCTGCAGGTGCACATACACCACCCGCGTTCGAGCTACTCCTACGATCAGTACCCATTGTCACTCATAAACAAATCCGTAACTACCTAATTCAAATTGAATTACTAAAGTAGCTGCATTACCTTAACTTTCCTAAATCAGATACCACTCCACGCAATCATAGATATCAACTCCCTAACTAAAGAGGTTTGGGTTCCACGATTTAGCTCAACCCACTTCGGCAGCTTATACGAAGGTGGATCAGCTCCGTACTTAAGCAGCCACAAGTAATTTTCTAATACAAAGCATGAAATGATTATCATAGCCTACTTCTTCCTCTAGCAGTACGGCACCCCTTTTCAGAATATGCAAACGTTCTTTCAAACCCCCAAACCTCCTTTCGATGACATTTCGCAGCTTCGCATGAATGTAGTTGAATTTTTCCTCCCGCAGCAACCGATGCAAATCTACGCCCCTAAAATCATTCATATGATACCTTGTGTTTCTAAAGGAAGTCATATAACCTGGCATGTCCATGTAACCCGCGTTCGCCAAGTAGTACTGGCCTACAAGAAATGACAACAGATCACCAATTAGTCCTACTGGATGAGGAAACACAACACAACAGATGTCATTGTGGTTTGTACTCACAATAGAAACACCTAAAGACAACTCTGGACTTTGAATGCGGCAAAAAATAAGTAGTCCCAGTCGCATCAAACTAACTTATATTTAGCCAAAAGGTACCAACATCTAGGTATCAATAGAATAATCTTCACCACACATATATTACTGCACAACTAGATAGTGTCCAAATTCAGATCAAACCATTCCAACAAGACCACAATCTTGACCTATTTGCACAAATAACCAATCCAATTGCATCAGCTACTGTGTACCAGCATGTACTTAGCATACCCAACAATACTGTTGCACCGCCAGTAATACTTATATTCATGGTAACCTACGCAACTATTGTCATACACAAGGAGTGGGAAAGTGGCAACTATTGAATCATTAGCATTTCATCCAATCATCTTAGGCAATACATGATAAGAACAAACAACAAGCAATCAAGGTCCTTGTAACCTACGCAAGCATTGTCATACACAAAGCTATATTTAAGCATTGCCAAGTTGAAAGCTCTAGTTTGGTTTTGGTGAATTGATGAAACCATAAGTGCTAACCTAGTTTATCAAGTGATCATGATATAGGTAGCACATTCCAAGTGGTGAAGCAAATAAAGATCATGACATGATGATGGTGATGCCATGGTGATGATCAAGTACTTGGACTTGAAAAGAAGAAAGAGAAAAACAAAAGGCTCGAGGCAAAGGTATAAATGGTAGGAGCCATTTTGTTTTGGTGATCAAGACACTTAGTGAGTGTGATCATATTTAAGATTGATAGCCGTACTATTAAGAGAGGTGAAACTCGTATCGAAATGCGGTTATCAAAGTGCCACTAGATGCTCTAACTCATTGCATATGCATTTAGGATCTAGTGGAGTGCTAACACCCTTGAAAATATTTGTGAAAATATGCTAACACACATGTGCACAAGGTGTTACACTTGGTGGTTGACACATTTGAGCAAGGGTAAGAAACTTCACCGGTGGAGTGTCCACCCGTAGAGTGTGAACAGTCCAACGGTGCCACCGGTGCTCTATACAGAAAAGACGGAGGTCACTGTAAGTGACCGGACGCTGGTCTCGGTAGGACCGGCGCGTCCGGTCAGTGGATGCGTGAAGACGCTGGCGTCGGTCTCTGACTGGACGCTGGGTCACTTAGTGACCGGACGCTGGAGGGTTGCGTCTGGTCCTGCTAACGTGGTAGCGCACAGAGGAGACGCCGAGTGACCGGATGCTGGGTGAGTCCGGTCGAGCATGACCGGACGTGTCCGGTTGTGATTTCTCGCTTCTGGATGCTTACTGGAAACGACCGGATGCTGCAGCAGCGCGTTCGGTCATCACTTAACCGTTGGGATTGGGCGCTCAGTATTTGAAGAGAGGGGACACGTGGCGTGCATCGCGCGACCGGACGCTGAGGTCCAGCATCCGGTCAATCTGACCGGTGCGTTCGGTCGGCCCGTGTTTAGTGCAGTGAGGAGCCCAACGGCTCTATTTTGTGGGGGCTTTTATTTAAGCCCCATGGCCGGCTCTAGCTCACTCTCTTGGCCATTTCCATTAACATAGCAACCTTGTGAGCTTAGCCAAAGCCCTCCCACTCATCTCCATCATAGATATATTTGTGAGATTGGGAGAGAATCCAAGTGCATTGCTTGAGTGTTGGCATCTAGAGGCACTTGGTGTTCGTGTTTCGCTACGGGATTCGCTTGTTACTCTTGGTGGTTGCCGCCACCTAGACGGCTTGGAGTAGCGAGGATCGTCGAGCGGAGGGTGGTGATTGTCTCCGGCTCCGATCGTGGTGATTGTGAGGGGTTTTTGACCTTTCCCTGGCAGAGAGCCAAAAGGTACTCTAGTGGATTGCTCGTGGCTTGTGTGATCCTCATCTTGTGTTGGTTGTGCGGCACCCTATTGAGGATTTGGCGTGTGATGCCAATTAGCGCGTGAACCTCCAAGTGAGTGAATCACCACAACGAGGAGTAGCTTGCCGGCAAGCAAGTGAGCCTCGGTAAAAAATCATTGTGTTCATCATTTGATTCCGAGCTGATTGATCTTCATTAGTATTCACTCTTGTGATTGATTGGATCCTTCCTCGACACGGCAGTATAAACAAATTGCTCACTCTCTTTACATTACTGTAAACTAGTTGTCAAGCTCTTTAGTGTAGCTAGTTGTGAGAGCTTGTTAGTTTAGTTAGTGTGGCTCTTTAGTTAGCCTTTGAGAGCACACTAACTTAGTGTAGTGACATAGCTATTGTGTGGATAGAAACTATATAAACTAGAATTGTGGTAGGTGGCTTGCAATTTTAGTAGGCTAGCGCAACACTTGCTTCGCCTCATAATTGTCTAACCGGTTTGTTAAGTGTTGTTGTAGAAATTTTTAATAGGCTATTCACCCCCCTCTAGCCATTAGGACCTTACACAAGTAAAAATCAGTGACAACATGACGGAATTTTTTTTGCTAGGCATCACGAACCTGCTGGGGGATGCGGGAACTAACCGTCGTCCTAACAGTCTTTCAACACCGCCATGTCATGACATGCCCCCGCCTTCCCGGCCCCCACGTATGTGAAACGGACATCCATATCCACGATGGCACAAACATTAATTGTTGTTTCGCCTTTCCTATTGAAGAAATCAGCCTTTGCTTCACGTTTAACCTCAACCTTTATTTGCGTGCCATCTATAGCACATATGCATCCATCAAACCATGGTGCATATGCAGCAAGTTTCTGGCTTACGCGTGCGTACTTCCTATCTGCGGGCACTAGGACAGTCTTTGCCCACCTATACATGACCTCTGTAACTGTTGTTAACTTTCTGCTAACTATATCTAAAGACCTTTTAAACCTATGTTTGCACTCTCTACTGGCAGATTGGTGGGCATAGGTCCAGATGTACATGCCTAAAGCTTCTACTGAGGTACACTTATCTGTTGATGGCAGGCCGAAAGGAAGCAGGGTGTCATGCAAATGCATGAAGGCATCACGCGTCATGCACAAATTGTCTATACATTTGGTTTGGTCGGCAAGAGTAAGTTGCATCCATTGGGCTCCAGATAGTTTAGGAATGGGACAAGGAGGATTTATCTCAGGCATTTGCTGCGCCATAATACCTTTCAACCTCCGCAGCACGACTGCTGCCTTCGCCAAGATCACAGTGCTCGGTCCATCACTGGAAGTGTCGCTGTACGATGACTCGTCAGTGCTGCTCATTGTGCTACCTGCAAATGGGCACAAATCAGTAAGATGCTGATGCATATATTGGGAACAAAACATTTGCTGATAAGTGAACATGTCAAGTTACCTGAACTAGGTAGTTGGCACAACCACCTTAGACAAATGTATGTAAGGCATGGACAATAGAAAAAGTGATCCATGCATAAGGTCTTACAATGCTCACAGCACGACACATATATTTTATTCAAAAAATGAGACAACGACATGCACTTAGTTCTCCACAACGGTCTTTATTAAAACAAACAAAACGAACATAACGAAATAACGAATAGAATCAACTCAACATGCACATGGTGGAAAATAGAAACAGTAGAAAAAACCGCAGTATAAACAATAGTGCTGATCACTGGGACTTCGTGGATCACACGAAGTCCCACGACACATTGACCCAGTTTAGCCGACCCTCTTTAGTTTCCAAATCAAGAAAAGCCCGACGACGGAGCCTGTTGTTGCAAAGGTTAAGGGCTTGTGCGAATACTACATCACTCTCGCTATAACCATCTTGCTTTAGAATCTGATTGATTTGGGACAACTCCTCAGCATCTGTGGCCTGATGGGCCTTTTGGGACCTAGCCTCCCTGATAATGTGGCTTAGGTCATCAAGGCAGTCGTCAATGGATGGAGTCTTGCTACTCTTCTTACTGGGAGGACTGTTAATAGAATGTTCCCTATGGACTCTCTTCAAGGGCTGAGCACCACTACGCGGTAGGACCGGCTCATCCGACAAGGCTGGAGGAGTGCGAGGGCTTCCACTACTGGGTGTACTATCAGATTGATGGCCCCCCGCCGATACCAACTCGCCCCTGTCACGTGGGGTGCGTCCCAAAATCATGAGCAGTTGCTCAAAGCATTGGGGGCATCTGAACTTGTCACGAGCGGGTTGGCTACTTTCCTGCACGTGTTCCAGTGATGGCGAAGTTAGTACTTAGTTAGTGGGAACCTAATTGCTAAAAAAATAGTCAAGGAAATGTGTGTAGTTAGTACCCCGGGGCTAGCGCCGTACCACTCGGGGTCAGTTGTAACCTCTCTAGTAAGCGGGTCACGGCCTAGCTCAGTATGGGTCTGACCATCGCGCCAATTGAAATACAAACGTTTTAGCTCGTTGCATTTGTTCTGGCACTTTTTCTTGTTATACCCGAGCCTCGTGATTTTGTTGAAGCCACGAACGACATTGGTCCACCCTAGTGTGGTTGGCAAAGTGGCGTTCTAGTGACAGAGGTCTTTCTGCTTGTTGATTAGGTCAAGAAGCAGAGAGTAGGTTTTGTCATCCCAGCTAGCACGTTCCTGGCTCATTTGATGCAAGGATCGACATTCGAAGGGATTATGTACATGGATGCATATCTTATGTCATACGGAGGGTAGTTCCAGTACGCAAAGATGAGAGTGGGTGACGGATAAGAGAACTTGCCTTTCCAAACCGCTTGCGGCGTTTTCCTCGGAGGTGGTACTGCCTAGCTGCAGGTGGAGAGCACGACGAAGTCGACAACGCTGCCAGTGTGGGTAGCCGTGTGCCCCAGCGGATGAATCGTCGTTGTAGTCTCTGTAGCGGCAATGTAGAGGTCATTGTGAAGTCAAACGATAAAAAATGCAGGAACAGTAGGAGGTACAATCCAGTACAAAAATTTGGAACACGGTTTGGTACGTATAGATAGTGTATCCAGTAGATCTCATGATACGTTACATTCAACAGAAATTTGATAATAGAATCAATGACAAAACCAAGCAAAAAGTTAAATCTGGTTAGCGTAATCAAGATGAAAATATCGGTAGAAAGGAAAACAAAAGATGCATATTCATCACATTCGAATGCCAATTTCAGGCAACAATTGGGGGGGTGTGCCTGGAAAAGAAAATCACAGCTATGATGTACAACAACACACATCTAGATACAGGGCACATCCTCATGCAAGCAAATAGTGCAACTAAGTTACAACAAAACAAACAAATAGAGGGGACGCTAAGCGGGACTCGCCATGTTCGGCCATGAAGCTCGGATCCGGGAAAACTATGACAAACAAACATATGATAAGGGGGGACGCTATGCTTAAGTCACCGCATCCGGCCGAGGACGACGGATCTGGTACATCTAGCAGACTAGGCCGTGGAGCTCAGCTCCGCGAAAGTAAGGAACGGTGGATCTAGAAAACCTACAAAACGTCGGCTCAGATCCAGGAAAACAAGAAGCAGAGACCGTGCACCGCAATCCCTAGATCCAAAAAACCTACAAAAACGACGGTGGCGTGGCTTGGGTTTTACCTTAATGCAGCAAGTTGGCCGGGTCGTGTCGATGGAGGCGGTGCGGCGAGGAGGGAGAACTACAAGAGGAGCGCCTGCAGGTCAGATCCAGCCAGGTGCTACGGCGGTGGCATTGAATCGAGAATACCTTGCTGCCGACAGTCGGTGAGGACGAAGGCGGGTTGGGGGAGGGAGGCGCAGCGCAACGTCAGCTTGGCTCTCGCCGGTGAGGTTCCGCGGCATGGCGTAGAGAGGCAGGCGGGAGCCGATCCGCTCACCACCGAGGGGGCCCGGCGACGCGGCGCAGATGACCGTCGGGACTCGCGCGTAGAGACGGCGACGAGCGGCGCCCGTGCGGGAAACCCTAGCCGCCAACGCGAAGGGGAGAAGATGAGGGACGACGCCACACGCTGGGGGTTCGGTGGCTTATAACCAGCCGTTCGGCTGGGGCTGGGCTGCCAAACGGCTGGGCTGATAAGCCCAATACCAGCCAACCCAGCCAACCACATTCAGCCCTACCGAACAGGCTGACCTCGCTGAGGCAATGAGTCAACGATGAATACAGCCGGTCAGTGGCTCGTAGATTCGCTGCTTTCTTTTGTTAGAGGTAGCAATGGATTAGCATCAAATTCATATAGATAAATCCAATTAAAATTAAGGGGAAAAATCTAAGTCCAAACCTATTCTACTACAAAATAGATAATGTCTAACAAAATCATTATAACTACTTGTTCATTCTATATCAAAAGCTAGATCCAAAATTTAAAATCTCGTGTTCATACCTTAAAATTTTAGCCAAATCAGAAAATTTATTAGAGATGACTTAATGCGATTGCAAGCTACTTTGTGCAAACCGACGTGACTATATATATATAAAGAGTCAAACCCTAAATTAAAAATCTCGTGCCCACACCTTAAAATTTTAGAGAAATCAATCAAAAAAATTTTGGAGACGACTTAATATGATTGCTGGTTACTTTGTACAAATTAGTATGACTAACATTAAAAATTGACCTACCTCTCAAGTATTCAAGTCCATATAAAATTCATTCGACACTAGATTTTTTTAAGTTAATATCCAATGCATTATGAGCATTAAAATGCAATACATCCCATCCGAATGCATTCAAAACAACTAAGGGCCCGTTCGGTTTGAGGTGAATGTGGCCAGGAATCATTTCAGGTAATAAAAGCTTGTATAAATTAACTATTATTCCCGGCCGGAATTTTTCCTGGTAGCCATTCCCTGTGAAACGAACGGGGCTTAAAGTTCAATTAAACTTTAGATTATCTAAATCCACTACCACCTCTATTTTTACCAAAGCAACCATTGGACTGCTTGAGTTCTTGACCTTCCTCCAGTATCATCATCCCCTAAACAAAAACGAAATAAAAACATTGAGAAAATGCTACTATGAGTCAGTTCAAAAAAAAATGCTACTATGAGCTAGCTAGAGATCAGAAGCACACAAACTATAGTTTTGTAAAAAAAAAAAGGTATCGGAGAAATTTAGAACGGGTACCTAACGCATGCACAAGAACAGCCCTTGACATGGTGTTACAAGACAAGACTCAATCTGAGATTCATAGTTACAATTAGCCTGATGTACAACATACTAATGTGTATAAAATGGTATTTACTATCTATGACCATTCTTGGATCTTTGTTAAGTTGATCTACAGGCGTGATTGGCTCATGGACAAGCCCAGCCTAGCTCACATCTAGGGCCCTGTTCGCTTCTCTTATAATCCGTACTTTTCAGCTTGTTTTTTTTTTTCAGTCGGAATAGTGTTTTTCTCTCACAACAAATCAGCCAAAACAGTGTCTCGGCTTGTTTTTTCAACGAAGCAAACGGGGCCCTTGTAGCTAAACACAAAATTAGACAGTCATAACAAGTTGTTTGGTTGCTCACACAAGTAGGGATGTAGATAAAAAAAATATCATCATAATATTTATAGTGCTACTAGTATCTCCTAGCTCTTAATTTATCTTATTACTCATTAATTTAAATTGGGATATGTTAATATCACTTAGTATGTGATAATAATGCATTAACAACATCGTTAGATGGATAATTACTCGCATCCTGTGAGCTGGCCGGAGAAATACAACCATCATCCTCATGTCCCTGTTCGGTAAGACTTATTGCTGATGCGGCTATTTGTAAGGCTAATTTGTTGTAAGAGAAAAATAATGTTCCATGGCTAAAAAAATATAACTGATTCTAGCTTATAAGCTCAAGAGAACATGGCCAGGCTCAGGTGCTCATGCAGCAAACCGAACACGGAAAAGTCTCATCGCCTAGGCCTGATCAGAGAAAATCCGACAACTAATCACGCCCTACATGATTGATTACATGGTCAAAAGCTTCTGTTTACATTGGAGTCCTCATTTAGGTTAAGCACCAACCACCTCCATGGTTTGCAGGACAATAATTCGTTTTCCTCGGATTTGATAAGGACTTGTATGCCCAAAATTCATTAAGCCCAATAATGCATCCAACAAATCTACAAGTTAGCAACCACATGACGTGCCAAAACTGACGAGGCACTGAGGCAGCTGAGGACCATCGGTAGGTCAATCAATGTGCGCTTTAAAATGTAGTCGTCGAGCAAACAAGGCACGCGCTTGCCATTGACTTCCACAAGTCCTTAAGAGAGAATACACGCTGCATCATCATCGAGCATCTGTTTAAGCTAATACTCTAGACCTACAATGAAAATATCTATTTTGCAGATTCTAAAATAGCTTGCTCACCAGTTTGTTAAACATTCTAGGTACTAGACTATTCCTATATTTGAATCCGTATGTAGCAGAACTGCCGGAGTTCAGCGCATCAGTACTAACTCCATTTTTCTCAAACAACTCCACCACGTCCTCCCAATACATGATGCTCGTGCTGCTGCGCACGGCCAGCAGCAGTGCATCGTAGGTGGCTTCATTAGGTACAACCTGACCATGTGATTCCATCTGGCGACACAACAAGAATGCCCCTTGGAGCTCATTGATCTTGCAATACCCGTCAATGACAATGTTGTACATCTCCGTTGTTGGTACCAACCCTGTTTTCGCAAATGTCTGCAGCACCTTCTCTGCGAGTGAAACTTTCTGAATCCTGCAAAGCTCCTTCAACAAGGTAACACAACCATTATCCTTTGCAGCAACACCGTCCTTTGCAGATTTTTCAATGATGCCCAGTAGCTGATCTTCGTTGATTCTGAAGAGGAACTCAAACAGGCTGCCAGGAACGATCTTGTGTAGTGTCGTCCCGTGCATCCGCATCTCATGGAACAGAGCTGTAACGTCTCCCAGCCGTTCAGCCAAGCAGAGTTCTGCCATCAGTGAATGGTAGGTGTATTCATCTGGCTTGAAGACATCCTGCACCATCTGAGCCCGCAGCTGGAGCGCAGCCTCCAGATCCCCACTCTCGTTCTTCTTCGAGGCCAGAACATGACTCAGCCTCTTCAAGTGGCCATTAATCATGACAGTATATGTGAAATTATTTGGCGCCAGGAACATGTCTGCCATCTTGCCGAACATCTTGACAGCGTCGTCGCCCCTACTGGCCTTCCAGAGCCCAGCGAGTACCAGGTTGTAGGAGTGAGCATTGGGAGGTGCCATGCCATCGTGGCCCGTGTGCTGGAGCCATCGGCGCCATCCGCCGTGATGCAGATTTCGATGAGCACGTTCCGGGGGATTTTGTGTGGGCACTCCCGGAATTTTTCCAGCATCCGAAGCATTTGCCGCTGTTGCTTGGGTACCTTCAAGCCCGCCTGCACCATCCAGGTTCGCAGCTCTGAAGCAGCCTCCAGATCTCCCTTCTTCAGGCAGTCATTCATCATATTCATGGTAAGGTACCGGTACCTGGAATGTTTTGGCGCCGCGGCCGTGTCCACCGTTTCGCCGAACACCTTGACGGCGTCGGCCGCTCTCCCGGATCTCCAAACCGCGGTGATCTCCCTGCTGCGCTGGCGATCGGCGAGGGTCTCGAACACGCGGCGCGCATCCGCGCGGCGTCCGAGGGAGAGGAGCTTCGCCATGAGGTGGCCGCAGGAGGTCGCCGACGGCCGCGGCAACTTGGGCGTGCGGATGAGGAGGTCGATCAGCAGCAGAGCGCCGTCGGGTAGGTCCGCGCGCGCGGATGCCTCGACCAGCGCGAACGCCGCGCCGCTGAGGTAAAGGCGCTGCCCACGTGGGCCTGCGGCGGCCAACGAGCGGTACATCTCGGGGACGCCGGACGCCCCGACGGCATTGGAGCGTATGAACTGCTCCGCCCAGTTAACGGAATCCCGCAAACTTCGGGCGGTGAGGAGGGCAGAGATCTCGCCGGCGACGACAGCAGCGATGGCCTGGGCGCCGGAGGAGAGGGAGTGGTGGCGAGGGAGGAAGAGGCGGCGCCATTCCATAGCTTCAACAGCAACGGTTCGGCTGGTCAGGTGGCGCACACAAGCTGGCAAGCCACCTGTGCCCGAAAACGAGGTTCTGCTGCCCTGCTACCAAAATAATAAGTGGATATACCTCATTTATCGAAGAGTCAATTTTTAAATTTAATTTAGTATATAAAAATAATATTAATGTTTATATTTTCAAATAAATTTATTATAAAAGTATATTTCAGAACCAATCTCATAATACATTAATACTTATTACAGATCATAAGTATTACTATTTTTAAAATATATATTTAATCAAACTAAAAAAAACTTCTCGAGATGTGTACTTATTTTAAAACAGAATAGAAATTTAGGAGTACCCAGGCCTTCTTTTTTTTTGCGAAGCTCCGTGTACAATAGATTACATGACATTCCCAACCAGAGGTTAGCATAAGGTCGAGACTCAAAACGTCAAGTACTACAATATGCCAATGAGATTTGTGGATTCACGTTTGCAGAGCACATAAAGGTCCGTTAACATTTCTGGTGATGATTACCACGCCCAGAGGCAAACCCACACAAATCAGAGAATGGCTCAGGACAGGAATGCATGTGCCACCAACCATTTCACGCCAGGTACGACAGTACAGCATAGCAAATCAGAGACGTTACCGAGCAGCATAAAAATGAGATTCTGTCGATACAACTCGACCTTCAAACCCTACACAAATCCTGAAAGCAATGCACTGGTGCCCCTTCCCCAGCCACAAGTCCGGAACAGTTCCTAGCCTTGAAATTTACAGGATTAAATTGGAAAGAATCATAAGAAACGAATATTAAAGGTTGGCAGTCAACACAACGGGGCTGGGACAATCCATGACCTAACAGAAAGATTTCTAAGTAATGTTCAACCAATGTACACAGCATGATTGGCGCTGAATGTCAGAAGCTCCAAATCGCAGCGCAGGTTCTGTCGGTGAACCATCAGTGAGTTCTAACAGATTTTTTCCAAGAGTTAAATGGGTATTCACAGTTGTCAAGATGATTTGGTTCTCTTGTGTCGAGCCTGGCCTTGGAGACACAACCGGAGACGCTGGGATATGTTTTCCCCCATCTCTTGCCTCTCCTTTTTTAACCTCTTCCACAGTGATTGATTCTTCTTCTCCTTCGGGATCGTGAGAGAGGTAGAGGTTTCCTTCGTACTGCCTCTCAGTGGCGCTTGCTAGAGCCCTTAGTGTCATGCTCTACAGTTTGGGAGAAGAAAATGAGATTAAAAACTGTCCTATATTTACTGGTTCACAGATCCAGCATAAGCAGGACATCACTAATTCAAAATCAGCCTTATATTGTTGAAGTACTCCGTTACAAATTATAGCTCACTCTAGTTTTGCCCTAAGTCAATCTTATCTAGCTTTGACCAAGTTTATAGAAAAATATATTAACATCTAGAATATCATATTAGTTTCATTAAATTCTACATAATGTCTTGATAGTGAATTTGTTTATAGATGTTAATATATTTTTCTAAAACTTAGTCAAAGATAGAGAAGTTTGACTTAGGACAAAGCAAAGTGAACTATAATTTTGAACATATGGAGTAGCAAATAAACACAAAGACTTCTAGCATTCTAAATCTTAAGGGCCTATTAAAAGACTGAAGAAATGTACCTTGAGCTTATGATTAGGTATCTCAGGCTGCTCGCCTGATGACGATCCATCACTAGCTCCACCCAAGGAGGAACATCTTCCCCAGCTCTCTCTGTTTGAGCTGGTGTATGAACAGCATTCCTCTGTTTGTCTGTTTGCTTTATCCTAATAAGGAAAGAAAACTCCTTAACTTCACAAGTAAAGAAATCACAAAGATCATTATTTTTTTCTCAAAGAAACTAGGAAATATATTCTTTTACCTCTAAATGACACTCTCCTGTGTTACCGTCCATCTCAGTGGGGTTATGATTTTCATCCAAAAGAAAATCCTGCATTTGAATGGAGTTAAAATCTCAAGTAGAATAGGAAGGGCAGACAATAATTGACTTTTTTTTCTCGAAAACGCAGGAGAGCTGCGCTTCAGTATATTAAGAAGAGAATAAAGGGTAAGAGCCCGAACAACACCTCACACACCACACACCACACACACTCACGCCCCAACCGTGACTTACCAAGTCATTATCATTTTTAACAGATAGCTGATTTACCCTCTCTGTCAGCAATTCAACTACTGATTTTGTAGCTGAAACAATGAAAACGAAGTCAACAAGCAGAAAATGGTTACTTAAAGATACTAAGTACAACCATTGAGGAAGAAAAGCCACACCATTTGTGAAATTAGCTGTAGCAGCTGATGAACTTCCTGCATCAGTGCCAGCTGCCCGTAGACCATTGATGATCTCATATAATAAGCTCTGAAAATTCAATTACATGTATAAGTAATCTACTAGGAGAGTTTCGTACAACATGAGGCAGAAGATTTCACACAGGATTGCAAAGAAATGAATTGAAAATTTACCTCATTGGTACCAGCACCACCCTTAAAAGCACCAAGGTTGTAATACTTATCAAATTTATTTGTGCAAGTTGAAGGAAACTGAGGTGGGTGAAGAACATTGTAGAAGAATATTGAAACAGAGTCGTAATAAAACTGGGGCCTTGGGGAATTGTGATCACCCTCAAATTTGATTAGATTTTTATCCCCCTGCAGAGGAATAGAAATATGTCACCAACATGGGCAGCAATCAGAAGGCCCTTCAGCCGGAGCAATCACCAGTGATGAGGCTTGTATGCATTTAAAAGCCATGTATGTACTGATCAGCCTTCCTAAAGCAAGCTAGAGTGATACTTACAGCATATGCCTGATGAATACGTTCTGTGTGATGTGGCTGAATAAACATATCATTTGAAGCATGTCCAAATAATGCAGGAATAAACGTCTTGGGTGCAAACTGGCAAGGCAAAAAAAAAAATGTTACCCAGAAAGATAGTCTATTCACATCCTATGAGTTTGACTGAAAAATGGAATTGATTATGATAGTACTCCTAAGAAAAAGAATTCACAGTATAACATGTAGTTTTATGCTACAATCAATTTTACACAAGCAATATCGCTCAAATCTCAACTCAAAATCAATCTCATGTAGAAGTTTCGACTTATCTAATGTCAGTGTTCAGAGCCAAGACAATTGAGAATCCTAACTTGGGTGAAAAAGACACATGCAATAAACCATTCTTTTTTCCTTACTTTTTCTTTTTGCATTGCAGTCAAGTTGCTCCTTTGAGGCCTAATCAGGTCAAAAATAGGCTAACCATATGCGTTTCTAACTATTCCATGCATCCATTCATAGGTAATGCATACCACTGTCCTTGTCAAGGATCGTAACTATAACAATGGTAACAAATCGTTCCAATCCACCTTTTTAAAAAGTTCTACCAGGCTCTTCAGTGATTGAACTAGTAGAAAATAGAAAATACTATTTTGGAAAGCGAACCTGGACAACATTAAGATCCATTATGTCAAATTTAGCTCTTCTCTGAATGACACGTCGCATGTACTGAACAGCCATCTTAACCTGAAAAATATATGTATCACAACAACCATCAAATCATGTGAGTATAGCAACATACAGTGAGCGCTTGAACAGAACATGAAGCAGGAAAGCCTATACTGTGTACTTTTACAACATTAACAACAGCACTTCTATATTGTGAATCATTTGCAATCTACAATCAGCAAGCATTATTTCATGGAACATCAGCGGCAGGAAACAGAAGCCAGGTGCTGAATCTCCCTACTGGTTCAGGATTTAGAAAAGTTGCCGCATGGGGTATCAACTCTAGGTTCACGCCCCAAAGTGGCCTAAGATACAAAAACTAGTTGCATGACTTCCTAAAATATTTAAAAAAGAATAACTTTCTTGTTATACCAAGTTACCAACAAGCGCCTCTACATACATCTCTTATATAACAATACACATATGTGCCTATAATTATAACATAAAAAGCACATACAATTCAACAGTAAAATGGTTACTTTAATGAAAATAGTGAAGCTAAACATTCACCACAAGATAATCATACCGTGAACTTAGGAACTCGTATTTTGTAAACTTCTACGAGCTCCATCATCAAGTCATATAAGTTAGCGAAAGCACTATCCAGAACCATGCCTGCAATTGAGGGGTCTTCTGCTCCATATAGCAGACTGCAGCAAATATATGGACACAAGTTGTCATGAATTACCAAAATGCAAATATATGAAGAATAATCTAAATCAAGATGCTTTGCAGAGTTAACTGCAAGTACCAGGATAGGGGTGGGGGGCAATTCAATGATCAGTACAAACTCTTTAAGATGCAATTTGTAAGAGATATATTCTACTATAATCCAACACCTTCTAAAAAGGTATATTATCACAGAAACAGAATGATGGGCAATTCTACGCAAAGTAGAGAACAAGCATTTTAGATAAATTAATACCTTGTAACAGCACCCATCGAGCGCCCCCAAAGGCCTATACGAGAAACTTGCTTATTGTTACGCAGAAAGGACACAGCACATTTGAGATCCTGCTTCTGGGAATACCACAGTGATAATATTTTTCAGGACATGTCATTTAAAATATAATATGAATAAAAGGGCGTACCCAGTGCAGAGAGCTCCCGCTCTGTGCGGGGTATGGGGAGGCAAGCCTTACCCTCGCCTGTGCAATGCGAGGAGACCGCGACTCAAACTCGGGACCTTCCGGTCACAGGCAGTAAGACTCGACCGCTTGCACCAGGCCCGCCCTTCTAAAATATAATATGAATGTCGCTACAAAATTTATAATGACTACACACCTCATGCCAACCAAGGCTGACATAATCTCCACTTGATAGCCCTGATCCGGCAAAGTCAAGTGTAAAAAGAGTGATATTTGAAGGAAGAAGTATGACAGCGGCTTCATTTGCATCTGCTCTGCATCCACTGCATTAAATTAATGAAAAAACTTGTTAAATGAACCACATTGGCTATTGAAGATGGTAAAGAGCAAAAATGGAAATAAGATTCATCTTGATAGCGGTAGACAAGTAAGAGCTTCAAAATTCATTTGATCAAAATGTTTAAGATGTATGAATTATGATCAACAGGGCAGAAATTAATAGCATGACTGCATGAGACAAGAGATGTAAGTACCTATTCCCATGGCAGTAGACTACACATGGAAGGGCAGTGTTTTCTGGGATGACAGCAGGAACATAGTGGCTGCATTTTAAGGTCTGACTTCTTTCATTCGTAAGCTGCAACATACAATGATACAAGTAAGAGTAAGGTTGATATACAAATGATATCGATAGTCATCACCAACATACAAACGGATGACACGGAAAACCTCGATAGTCCTGACCCTTACTTGCCTCCAAATCTAGTCTTTTATACCTCCTTCCGGCGAGAGTAAACTCTGGCTCCCATAAATACTGATCTGGATTGTACTCTGCACTGTAAATGCATTGCCAGTTAACCACCACTCAGCAGGAAACAGAGAGAAAATAATTTGATACAGATATCAAAACCTGAAGGCTATGAACCTAAAATTATTCATTTATTGTAGCGTCTTACAGAAAAGGCACAAATTTATTTTAGAAAGTACAGTTGGTATAAATGCCATGTTAACTAAATGCAAAGGCTTTTTTTGGTTTACTAACACAAACCAGTTTAGTTGTGCAACTACAGCACATGTGATTATGACGAGCTACTTGCTTGACTGAAAACCTGGTACTGGACTCTCAATAGAAAGGCTGAACAACAAATTTTTACTCCTGTACTAATGTACCATTGGGGTCTAAATGAATCCAACAAGGATTCGAGCACTTCAAGTACAGAATTTTCGCATTCTTGTGCCTTGAGAATCGTTGAGACTACAGTGAGAGGCGGGTACGTTTTTCCTTACAACAGAGGCTGATGAGTTTTTTCATTTCGTACAGAGGCCGATAAATTGCAATAGGCTGGTCTAGCTATTTGCTATCGATAGAAAATTCATACACTAAACTCCTACTCTTAAACGTGAAGAATTGTAGCGACATATCATCAAGGGCAATGGCGTAAAGGCTGCCCAATCCCACCAACTTGCACTTGCAGCAGAAAGCAGGCCAAATTCCGGCGACACGGGTGGGAATAAAGTGATTACCGAGGCGGCCGGATGACGAAGTTGACGAACTGCTCGATCATCGCTTCCCGAGGACGACGAAGCAGCGACGGCGGCGGCCTCCGGAGCGCATGTACGTCGCACGCCCGCCCACCAACCAACCAACTCTCCCTCCCGGAATTCCTCTCCCTCCGCACACCTAGACTCGCCACCAAATCAACTCAGCCCGAATTCTCCGGCCCGGGCAGCCTCAGATCCGCGCGAAACCGCCCGCGGCTCCCGGCGACCCGGAGCCCGGAATGCTCGCCGCGGGGCCCGGCGAGCGGGGAGAGGAGCGGGTACTCGGAGAAGGCTCCCCGCGTCCACCGCTGCGGCTGCGGCTGCGGCGGCGGGACAAGGTGGGGAATGGAGTCGGGGGGAGCGAGACGGCTGAGACGGGACGGGAGTAGGCAGAGGCAGTGTGGCGTGGGTAGGGAAATGTGAACGTTAACGAGGAGAGGCGAACGCGCAGTCTATGCGTAGCGTAGTAGGAGAAACGATAAATGCGGGGTTTGAAACGCATTTTTTGTTGTGTGTTTGCTCTTGTAGTTTAGCCCCCCTGGAGCCGGAGTTTTGCGAGCCGCATGTGGCGCCATCTCGCGTGGGTGTCATGTTGGCTGCCTGCTGCCTGCTGCCTGCTGCCATGGGCGCGCCGCGAAGGGCCAAGGACTACCGTGTCTCAGTTACTAGTCAGTTTCTCCGGTGCTCCTGCTAGACGACTGTTGGAGGACTGGAGCTTAGGTGGATCCTTCTCACGTCGTGTGTAGGGTTTTTCTGGCATTTAGCTATATGCTGAACATTTCCATTTGCTAGTTGTTTCATAGATGAACATTTGTTGAACAAAGGAGCAGCGACGACGACGACGACAGGCATGATGGAATTTTAACAGCCTAGAGTTAGAGGGGAACATTTGCTGGCGCTGATCTTTAGAGCATGGAGGATGCAGTGCACTGATGTCATGAGTGACGCAATGAGACAGTAGTGGCAAAACAATTAGTTTTCGAAGGACCAAAATGTATGCTGGTGAGAAATTATTTCTGCAAAACATGATTCTATGGGACTTAGTTTGGTCGATAGATTGATACTGACAATGGCGAAGCTAGGACCAAGATTTAGGAAGGACATATATCATTTGAGGTGCCATTACTCTTTAACTGTATAATAATGATAGCTTAGCTAGATCATTTAAAAATATAATGAAGAAATAGCAAAGTTAGAAGTGACACTCCTCCCCCGACCCTTGTCTTCACTGGTGGATATTGGCGGCATCGGTGGCACTAGTGCCAAAAATGACTGACGGGTAGAAAATGAGGGTCGATGGTATGGGAACAAAAGGGAACAGCTAATTGTAGGATTGAGGAATGGTCATTAGTTAACTAGGTTGATCTAGCAAATATGTATGATATAGAGCTTAAGCTCAATATTTCTTTTGATGCCCAATTAGTTGTTGCGTCTCTAGTACCCATTGTTATATTCACAGGACTCTTAGACCCAAGTCTAAAGGGGTGTTTGGTTCCACCTCCTAAACTTTAGTCACTATTCCATTAAATGTTTGGACATATGCATTAAGTATTAAATATATACTATTTATGAAACTAAATGCACAGATTGAGACTATTTGCGAGATGAATTTTTTAAGCCTAATTAGTATATGATTTGACAATGTGGTGCTACAGTAAACATATGCTAACGATAGGTTAATTAGGCTTAATAAATTCGTCTCACGAATTTATGACGGATTCTGTAATTTGTATTTTTTTTATTAATATCCGAACACCCCATGCGACACTCCTGTATAACACATCCTCGACTTTAGTCACTGGATCAAACATCCCAAGTTATATGTTCAACTACTCCAAACTGTCACTTTCAATGGAATCGTTTATATATAGCCCTTGTTTAGTTCCACCCCAACTTCCAAAAAGTTGCTACAGTACCTGTCACATCGAATGTTTGCGGCCCGTGCATGGATCATTAAATGTAGACGAAAAGAAAAACTAATTGCACAGTTTGGTGGGAAATTGCGAGACGAACGTTTTGAGCCTAATTAGTCCATGTTTGAACACTATTTGTCAAATAAAAACGAACGTGCTACAGTAGCCCCAAAATTCAAATTTCTCCAACTAAACGAGGGCATACCCAATTGCCCATAGATAGTACGGAGTAGCTAGTAACGAAGACAACAAAAATCGTGCCACCGAGAAAAATAAGAATAGTGTCACCGTAAAACACAGCATGGGTCAGAGAAGATAGAGAGCAATGTTATATAAAAACTTAACGCCGCAGAAGTCCACATTGTTTTTCCCTAGTTAATAACACTGACGTGCCATCCTGCCGTCTGCCGTCTGCCGTCTGCCGAGGGTGGTGCAAGGAAATTGCATGAATTCGGAGGACCAAATCAATGAGTTCCTTCCTTCCTGTGGCACTGTACTAGAACAGTTTCCCGAGGCTCAAACGGCCAAACTCGCCGGCCGAATATTAAATGCTCAAACACACTAAAGTTGTTGTGACTGTATCTAGCTTATAAGACGTAAGCACCAAGGAAGACGATCTGTTCCATTGCAGTACCACATTGAAGGAACATTAGGCTAAGCTATACTTTTAGCATATCTTAACTTGGCTATCAATTTATATCCAAAGGATAAATTTAAATGCACAAATCAAACAATTATGGGTGCATGGCATCACTCTAAAGAACTCTGATAAAAATATTTTAACAGTAAATGCTTGCATGAAGGATGGTTCATAGTTGGTCTACCAGTTCAGCTAAACACTTGTTCAACTTGCCAAATCGAGGTGCCATCTGTCGATTCAGCTGCGAAAGAAGAACCTGTGCATTCGGGTCCAGGTACCTAGAGACATTGGAACATTAATACAGACAAGGAAATTCAAACCTTTGGAACTATGCAAGGGATGAAAGAAGAAAAAAAAGCATACTCTTCTACTTTTTTTTTGTTGGAGACCAGATCCATCTTTGAAAGGATGTTGATATGAGGAAGTTCAAGCTGAATCATAGCTGATAGAGAAGCCATGCAACCACTGATGTATTTCGTTACATCACTGACAAACTGGACCATGAAAAAACAACTGAAATCAGGCTTGTGTTTTTGTTTAATGTATCTTCATTGCCAAGAAAATTTCTATTCATGATTCAAACCCGTGAATAACTCCGCATATGTTATCTCAGCATAGCAGGTCCCAAGCCCTAGTAAAAGAGGAGGGTTGTGATAGGCGTGGCGAGCCAACGTTAAATCTAGCCATTTTAATAGAGATGAAACCCGAAAGAAAATCGTTGGGGCGTAACCCTCTTAGCGACGCGCCATATCGGAACCCAGTATGGTGTTAAATGGACAAAGACCGGGTCGACACCCCCTTGGTGACACGCCGTGTCGCGATCTGGGCATGGTGTCAAGTGAGCAAGGATCGGGTCGTCGCTTCCTTAGTGGCGCGCTACATCGGCGCCCGGGTGTAGTAAAAAAATGAGCAAGGATCTTCACATCTGAGTCGACGGGTGCGAAGGGTAAGGAAGCTAGTCGAACCAACTATGATCCATTTAGGTAGTGGCAATGTAGGGTCGCTTACAGATAAGTTAAGAGAATTAGTTGATACCGTGACTAGGAGACGTGTAAATATATTATGCATTCAAGAGACTAAATGAAAGGATCAGAAGGCGAAAGAGGTGGACAATACAGGTTTCAAGCTTTGGTACACAGGAACAGTCGCGAATAGAAATGGAGGAGTTTTGATTGATAAGAGCCTCAAGAATGGTGTGGTGGGAGTGAGAAGGCAAGGAGATAGGATTATCTTAGTCAAGCTTGTCGTTGGTGATATGGTCTTAACGTAATTAGTGCGTATGCCCCCCAAGTAGGCCTCGACGAGAGTGCTAAGAGACAGTTCTGGGAAGACTTAGATGGCCTGATTAGAGCTGTACCTAGTAGTGAAAATCTTTTTATATGAGATCTTAATGGGCATGTAGGTACTACAAGCGCAGGTTTCGAGGCAGTTCATGGAGGTTTTGGGTATGGTAGTAGAAATCAGGAGGGGGAGGAAGTTCTGGGCTTCGTGGTAGCTTTTGACCTGATGATAGCCAACACTTTCTTTAGAAAAAGATAATCTCATCTAGTGACCTTTAGTAGCGGACAACAATCTAGCCAGATTGACTTTGTCCTCGCAAGAAGAAAGGACAAACGAGCATGCTTGGGTTGCAAGGTGATACCAGGAGAGTGTGTTGTTTCTCAACATAAGCTTTTGGTGGCAGACTTTCATTTTCAGGTGCGTGCCCGTAGGGATAAACAAGCTAAGATTGAAAGAACAAAGTGGTAAAAACTGAAAGGGGAGACGTCAGAGGTATTCAGGGAAAGGGTTATCAAAGAGGGCTCTTGGAAGGAAGAAGATGACATAAACAACATGTGGGAGAAGATGACAACCAACATTAGAAAGATGGCCTCAGAGGTGTGTGGAGTAACCAAAGGAAGTGGAGGTGAGGCTAAAGATACTTGGTGGTGGAACGAGAAAGTCCAAAAAGCTATTAAGGAGAAGAAAGAATGCTATAGACGCTTGTACCATGATAGGAGTGTGGACAACATAGAGAAATACAAGGTGGTAAAGAAGACTGCAAAGCGCGCTATAAGTGTAGCAAAGGGTAGAGCTTACGAGGATCTTTACCAATATTTGAGTACAAAAGGAGAGAAGAACATTTATAGGATGGCTAGGGTTCGTGAGAGAAAGACAAGGGACTTCAACCAAGTTAAGTGCATTAAGGATGAAAAGAAACATCTCTTGGTGAAGGAGGATGAGATCTGACATCGATGGCAAGAGTATTTTGACAAATTGTTCAATGGTGAGATTACGGCACAACCTTTCAATTGGATGACTCTTTTGATGACACCAATAGGCGCTTTGTGCAGAGAATTCAAGAATCTGAGGTCACAGAGACGTTGAAAAGGATGAAAGGAGGTAAGGCGATGGGACCGGATGGTATCCCAATCGAGGTGTGGAGATGCCTCGGGGACATAGTTATATGTAACACCCTCGGTGTTACACTGTACAATCTTTTGCTAAAACACTGCATGAGCATCATACTTATGTGTAAATGTATGAAATATAATGTGTAAATCAATTTCTGTGACTCGAAACGTTCATCGAAAACACGAAACGAATGTTATGTTTCATGTCGCATTATATCGCTTAGAGTTCTAAACGAATTTTTATTGAACGAAAATGCTATAGAGCGCATACCCGGTACTTTAATAAAGTTTATAGTATGAACTTTGTAGGTGGCGGTGAAATACTTACGATCAAGAAAGGAATTCCCTAGCTAGCATGGTTGGTAGCTTGGAAATCAAAGTTGACGCAAATCCGAGCGAGACGTAATCAAATTTCTTAAGTTAGAAAACGGTGTGACGAGGCTACGTTTGGGAATTTTTATAGGAGAATCGGGTTAAGCAGTGGCATGGTCTTAGAGTTTGTTTTAGTAGCTTGACATACCATCTCGAGCGCTAAATAGTTGGTTTAGCATTCGGATTATTGAGTTGGATTTTTTAGCAACTTTAAAAATCGTGCATGGCACGTTCCGGCCGGTGTTAGCGTCTGGACGCGGTCCCTGTCTCGGTTCGGCTTGGTGTCGTGGCTCTACCTTGTCCAGGCGCGCACCCGCCCCACCGTTGCCGCACCCTGGCGCGCACACCCGCACCACCACTGCCACGCTCATGCACGCGCTCACGCACGCATGCGCACGCCACGCCAGGTGACCTGGCCGCTCTGCCACCACCGCCGGTGTCACGGGCCCGCTACTCTGGCTCAGCCATTGTCGCCGCTTCACCGTGTCGCTGACCCCGCGCGTCGCGTCACTGCGCTGCTACTGGCCATGGTCGCTTGTGCGAAGTCGCCCGCGTGCGCTCTGCCACAGCCGTCGTGTTCGCCTAGCCGCTCTGCCGCCTCATGCCCGCCTAGCGGTACCGTGTGCACGTGGCCACATTTGGCATTGCCCGCATGTCGCCTTGCCCCACCTACCTTGCCGTCACGTCGGCGCACGACGACGTTGCGCTGTTGCCTCCTCTGACCGGTGCCATCCGCTGTGGCGCGTAGGGCCAAGCCACCGTCGTCGGTTTGCGGTTTTATGGCCATGCGGCCCACCGTCCTGAGCACGTTGGCCGCTTCCCCATCGCCCTATAGTCGTACGCGTTTGTGCACCGATTGACAGCCACGTCCCGCCACGGCAACGTCACGCCAAGCCGTGCCGGCCATCCCCTGTTCCTCTATCGCCTTGGTCGTCGGTCCCGCGTTTACAATTCAACCTGGTGGAGCCGCCTCGGCCCAATTAACTCCGTCCACAGCTTCGCGGTGTAGTCAGCCAGCCACCCGACCCCATCGCGTCGTGATCCAAACTGTGCCATGCTCCAATTTGGAGTTTTCCTCCCGCCGGGTCGTTAAGACCACCGTGGGACGCGTCGATGGCAAAGCCCCACTTCAGTGCGGCTCGTGTCCAATTCGTTGCACCGCCAGCTTCGCCTCCACTTGCTAATCACCCTGCGCACCTTTGCCTAATCGCTACCACCACCTAGCCGTTTCTGACGCAGCCTTGCCACCGCCGTGCACCGCCGCACCGTCCGCACGCACGCGGCCAGCTCGGCTCGAGCAGTATCCTGCCGAACCACTGCATCGTCTATGTTCGTGGTGAGTTCCTTGAGCTCACTCGCTACCCCAAGTTCTCCGGCGTTGTTGTAGCTCACCGGAACGTCATCGTTTCAGTGCAAGAGCTCCGCCACCGTGGACCAGCCTTACTACGGCGTCCCAGCTCACGCTTCCTTCGCCTAGTGCTTCGCGTTCAAGCCTAGTAAAGTATCGGCTCCGTAGATAGGGCGGGGAGGGACTGGTGTGGCTGGCGTAACCGCCCAGTGCTAGCGCCGTCGCGCTGGTGCGCGCGCGGGAGGCCGAGGGTATGGCCGTGGTAAATAAGAAAAGGGGGAGGGGGGATTGTAAGTTAGCTAACTGTTAGAATAGTGCGCTTAGTGCTCACGCTATTACTGGGTAGTCCGAGGGCGTTTTCGTAAGATGACCGGTGCGCGCGGGCCTCCCGGTTGCAGGCCATCGTCGCCCAGCTGGGCCACGCCGTGCGTCGTGTGTGTGCGCGCGTTGCGCCGAACTAGGCTAGGCCGCTCGCGTTTTGGGCAGCGCGGTAGAATTAGGTTTTCCATTTTCTAGTAAGGTAATAAATGTTTATTCAATTTGGTCTTCAGCTGAACTTTGATAATTTGTAGTAAATCTTATAGATGTCCAAAAATAGTGAAACAAAATTTGTTAGGTTCACAAAAATGCTATCTATCTGTTGGTGTAGTTAGTTTACAGTTAGATGTGATCATGATAGGTTCATAAATTCAATTTAGAGAGCTTGGTAGTATTTAGGTTAATATTTGTAGGAATTTTTGTGGCAAATTGATGATAGCTTTAGCCATGAAAATTTTACGGTAGGATCATTAGATTATTATATACTCACTGTAATTTTTGTAGCCCTAGAGTAGGTTGATAAATAGAGTAGCTAGTACCCTTGTTCTATCATATATAGAGTAAATGGGTATTAAGGGTAAGAATACCTTTAGTTGCTAAGATAATATATGTCATGCTTCATACTTGTTAGTGGTAACAATAGGTAACATAGCACCTTAGTTGGTAGAACTAGCTTAGTAGCTTGATAGATGTACTTTATTTTAAGAGTTGTTGTTGCTGTATTACTTAGTGTTGCATCATCATTTCATGCATGTAGATCACAAATTGGTAGAGTTCGTGCCTGTAGATGAACAGGACTACGAAGAGGTCATTGAGGAGTACGAGGAGGAGATCCTCATGCAGGAAGGAGCCTAGAGCCTTTTGGTGCTGACTTTGTTGACCCACCGCCTGCCCAAGGCAAGCCCTAGTACATAACCCCTATTTTTTAATGATTACTGAATATATATGATGTGCATTTACGTTACAGGCATTTTATAAAAACTACATGCATAAATATATCTACCTATGAGTCCTACTAGTATAGGTCGAGTAGCTGCTATGCTTAGGGTATCGGTAGCGTGAGTAACCTGTCGTTACTCACAATAGGTGATAATTATGATCACTCATGATAAAGTGGTGGAAAGGAAAAATGGTGACCGGACAGAGATATGGTTTGGGTGCTGGTGGGTGTAAGAGGTTGTGTTCTACGGCCAACAGGACATAGCTTGGTTACACTTTTTTCTGTCGGTGTCGGTTAAGGACCGACCGTTGCATAAGTCTCGAGGCAAGTCACAGATTTATTATCCCGAGCACTTACTTGGGTATGGGCGCAGGGAAGACTTGTTGCTATCTTATCGTGGGTTCCAGCTCTTTCTGGACCGACTGATTGGAGGCGGAGATGGTGGAGGTCCTTGCACCGCACTAAGTCCGGGACTTAGGAGCGAGGGCTTGGAGTCTAAGTTTGGACGGAGACCTAGACCCCATAACAGGAGGGTGATGGGTTGGTCCTGCTTGTGCCTGGGGTATAAGCGGGGCGTGTATTTTTAGGATACCCAGCTGGGGGCATTGATTCACGAATCGCTAGGCAATCCGGTACTGAAAGCATCGTAGTAAGAACTGAAAGATGAAATATGATGAAATGGAACTGATTGCTCAACTCTTGCTTGAAAGTAGAACATGTGCTTACATTGAATGGATAGATAATAAATTAATCATGACTGCTAATAATAACATAAATAAAGACTCACTATTAGTATTGCTTTCTGCAAAAAAAAACCAGCAAACCATAAAGCTTTGCATATCCCTTGGAGTCGGAAAATTATTCCCACTAGTCGGATAAGTCTTGCGAGTACATTGTGTACTCAGGGTTTATTTACCCCTGTTGCAGGTAATGCTTGAGGAGTACCATTGTGTGAAGGATTCTTCTGGTGGGCACAGACGGATCCTTGTTTCTTGTCGATAGATGTTTATTTACATTCCGCTGTTTAATATTCTACACTTTGACATTTGGCAATGTAATAATGAATTTCTAAGAACTCTGGATGTATGAAATGTATTAAGTATTGTAACTCGTTCTCATTATTGGATCCTTGAGGAAAAATGCGGATCTTTCGGGCTTTCCCTTTGGGTGTGCCCGACGGAACCTGCCCGCTGTAGCTTGCTTTCAGGGTGCTTAGTGTCTGATGGAAGACGAGCGCCTCCGTAAGTGCGTTATTTCGGGCGGTTCTGCCACATTTGGTACTAGAGCCAATAATGAGTTTACGAGTTCATCACTCTTTTCTAAAACTTAAAATTTGACCAACAAAAGTTTTGCGAAAAGTAGGATGCACTAAAATTATGTAAATAAGTATAAGCCTTAGCAATATGATCTATCTAGGATAGCGGCACTGGTTTTATGTAATCAGTTTTTTTGCATATACACTGACTTACGTTGCGTAAGAAATAGCTTAGTATGCGGAAAGTGAGTGTGCGATGTGCCGAAATTTTGCGAATGCCGTTATATTCTGGCTTGAGTGAGCATACAGGCCGATACATGCATCATGATAATAGCATCTTGCTTAAACTAAAGCCCCCTACACATATAATTGGATTAGTAAATTGATAGGATAACTAAAAGAATGTTTTAATAAATGTCTCATCGTTTCTCTAATCCCTTGTTTTTTATCTAGAAGGTTGTCCTAAGAGGTTGGTTCCTATCTCTTACAGATGAATCTGAAGTTCGGACGCGGGAGCACTAGTGCCGGAGCGGGCCATGGTCTTGGCGAGGGCCAAGGTGAAAGTGGCCGGGCCAATGAGCACGGTAACGGAGAGAGCCATGAGGCTCTACTGTTGGCTCCTTCTCCTCCGCCACCACCACCGCCGATGACGCACGCGGAGATGATGACAGCTCGCCGCGAGTCAGCCCATGCCATAGAACTGCTAGCAAGGCTATCGGTGGCTTCGTCCGTGGGGGCCACGGGGGCAATGGTGGGAACGGGGGTGGTGCCTACGGATGAAAACGGTCGAAAAACCCCTCAACCGTTTTCTACATTTACATTTGAATACGAAAATGAAAGCAAAAACGGTAAAGCCGGATACGAAAACGAACACGAACTTACGGAATATCGAAAACGAACCAATTCGAGCGGAATTATGTCGAACATGGTCGGTATACGAAAATTCAATACGGAATACCGACCCGTAAAGTCCATAACAATTAACAAGTGCATGACCCAAGCACATAACAATTACCAAGTGCATGATCAAGTTCAAAGCACATATAATAATTAACAAGTGCATGACCCTTGGTCTCAACTCTTAAGTATTAACACAATAGCTAACGGCCTGACACACAAATATAAGTCTAGAACAAGCAATTAACACTAACAGAAAACAAAACATCTACAGTTCATCAGCATCATCCATGAGGTCAGGATCACTTTCCATGTCTTTTGCTTCCTCATTGTCCTCATCCCCCTCCTTGTCCTTTTCCTACAAGTTTGCAAAGTGAATTCAAATTACATGTAGCAACCAGTGGCGGAGCCTGTGCTAAAATCAAGAGGGGGCCAATTCCATAAGCTCATGCCACACCTAACTAGATGCTACTACCTTCCAGCTTGCGCTTGCTCCATGAACAAGAGAAGCCAGCAAGTAAGATGAAATCTATAGTGCCTGATAGCAGTTGCCTAATAGCAATTGTTGTAGGCAGCAGCAGCCAACTGTTGTAGGCAGCAGCCAACTATTGTAGGAAATTGTTGTAGGCAGCAGCAGCCAAGTGTCATGGGAGCTAAAAAAATCTATAGTGCCTGATAGCAGTTGCAGCGTTTAGAATAGAAGGTATTGCTAGCCACAGTCCACGTCAAAGAGGCTATATATCTTAGTAAATTTTAGTCCAGCATATTGCACCAAGCTAGCATGAAGTCCAGCATATCAAGTATCAAGCATTAGTAACAAATAAAAAGTCATTTTTCTCCTTCCTACACGTAGACTAGGGAGGGAAGGAGGGAGGGAGGAGAGCAGTTCAAAGACTTCAGAGAAAGCAGTCAATAAACATACCTCAATTTTCAGTTTAGCCACAACATTAGCCAAAGCCTCAACCTCAAGATCAGTCACAATTGATCCAACCATTTTAGAATCTGAACAAAAAATGAGAAAGGAAAATAATCAATGCATTATTCTACTGCAATTATAAGTGTGTCTAACTAAAAATAGATAAAATGAGCACCTTTTCTTGCTGTAGCAACCCAGTCCTTTGTGCAAATTAATGCATATACCATCTCAGGATCAAAACGACTACGATAGGGATCAACAACACGACCAGCAGCACTAAAAGCAGACTCGGATGCTACTGTTGATACTTGTATGACCATTACATCCCGAACAATTTGCGAAAGGATAGGATATTGTTCTCTCTTGTTTTTCCACCATGCTAAGATGTCAAACTCACCAACAATTTTCAGAAGTGGTTCTACAATATTCCTCTCCAACTCTTTTGACTCAACCATAGCAGGTTCACTTGCATCATATAAGAATTTTTCTAGGTCATGGTCTACACTTGCCATTAATATATCAATTGTGTTACTAGGTCCAGGTGCAACCCCTTTACTATTTTTCTTTGATGATGCAGGAGCAGAATTAACATAAAAGTTGTACAATTTCTTTACCACAATAACAAACTCATCAAGTTCAACTTGATAATGATCACCATAGAACTTCTTCATGTAGTACTCTATCAGCCTTTTCTTATACCTAGGATCAAGAAAACAGGCTACAGCTAGAGCAATGTTGGACTGCTGCCAATATTTATCAAATTTGTCATTCATAGCAATTGCCATATCTCTAATTATAGCATCTCCACTACAGCACGAGTCGTCAAGCAAGAGCTTTATATCACAAAAACCTCTATAAAATAAGTTTGCAGTAGGATATGAAGTGCCAGATAGAATTTCAGTGAGATCATAAAATTTCTTCAAGCAACAATAAATTGTCAATGCATTGTCCCATTATTCAACAGAAGATGAAGAAATCTTGGCATACCTACGGCGATTTGAAGACTTCAACCTAATACATGCATCCTTGTAGTACCAGGCATCTCTCAGCATTAGGTAGGTAGAATTCCACCTGGTTGAAACATCCATCGAGATACCCCTCTTTGTATCCAACCCAGCTTCAGTGGCACACATCATAAGCTCTTCCCACTGCAATGGAGACCCTTTCACAGCTAGTACAAGTGATTTGACCTTGCTGATTGTTCCTGAAATGATTTTCAACCCATCTCTAGCAACCAAATTGAGAATATGGCAGGCACATCGAACATGAAAAACATCCCATCACAAACTAGGGAACTATTAGCATTCTCTTTTAGATCTGAAATTATATCGTTGACAGCCACTTCATTTGAACTAGCATTATCCAAAGTCAAAGCAAACAGTCTATTTTCAATGTACCATTTAACCATAACTTCAGTGAATGACTCAGACAACTTTGCACCAGTATGCCTTCCTTTTACATTGAAGAAACCAATAATTCTCTTTTACATACGCTAATTATCATCTATCTAATGAATAGTAACACACATGTATCCTTTATTTTGGCATGAGGTCCACATATCTATTGTTGCACTAAAGCGGCACTTGATAGTTTTCAAGTGTGCATACAAAGTTTCCTTTTCTTCAAGATATTTGTCCATTATTTCTTTCCTAACGGTGACACAGGACTTTATTGGAAAGCTAGGACGGAGAGATTTTATGAAATCAACAAGATACTCATGCTCAACTATATTGAAAGGATATTCATGCATGGTTATTGTCAAATTCAATTTCTTCAAGCTAGCTTCTTGGTCATATTTGAAAGGCTGAACATGAGCATTTTCACTACCAGGGTTCTTACCAACTTTAAGCAGTTGTTGTCCTTCCACAATATTGTGCTTTGACTTCAAATGGTTCTTGAATGCAGTCGTCCCACATACGCCCTCAGCTCTGTACCTCTGATTGCAGTTAGCGAAATTGCGGTATCCCCACAGCTGCTCAAACTGCTTTCCCTCCACCTCTGAAACCTCCTTTTTCTTGGTGAAATACTTCCAGACAAACGATGTGCATTTCTTGAACCTCTTGCCAGAAAGGTGAGACTACTCATCATCATCATCATCATCGACATTAATTGGAGTTGTGGTCACTGAAGTTGTGGTTGTTGCTGGTGCGGCAACGCCACTACCACTGCAACTGGTGTCAACATTTGGAGTAGAAGAACCCATCACTGATACTGCTACTGATACTGCTGTAGCTGGACTTTCACAAGTTCCACTAGAGCTAATACTTTGAGATGAAGGCCTTTTACTCCTTGGTCCTGCCAAGAGCCAAGTGAAACATTGCTAAATCAGTGCATGCCGGTCCCAAATAATCAAGTAAAAGGTCCCAAATAGCCAAGCTTCATCAATAACAAAAGCAATAATCAAGCAGGTACAACTGATTTTACTTCAGGCATGTGAAATTCTATTGAAACCACAAAAATCACTGGCATATTTGCTTGAAGTATATTGTGAAGTGACCACAGACAAGACAATGCAGGTAGGTAATCGATCAGTATCAGCTTAAAAGTCCTGAGCTCAGTGAAGTCACTCATTTGTTCAATGCCAGTTGATTTTATGCAGTGATACTTCCATGAGAGCATGGGAAATATGAGGTAGAATGCTTTAAAAAGTGTATCACTTATGAGTACACTATTTGTTTTGTTTTCACATGGTAAATTACAACAAAACAAAGAAGCAGATTGAGGGTCTATTTTGCATGCTGCCCTATGGAACTAGAGTTTATTACAGGGAATGATTTACTCCTCTCTCTTTTTTCAATTGTTGACTAGAAATATAAATGATCTTCAAAACATCAGTGTTAAAAACATACTCTTAAGGCATGTTTGGCTTACATATGTTGATCTTGTACTCTGGCTTGCAATTTATTATATCTTAATATAAGCAAGGTAAGGTAGCTTACTATATGACCCATGACAATTAGTACCTGCTGCTAGAGAAGTCGTTGCTGCTGGTGACGATGCCGCTGCCAGTGCTGCCGGCGGCGCTAGAAGGTGGCGCACGCTCTTGGTCTTGGTCTTGTCTTTGCCCTTCGATCTAGGAGCAGAACCACCTTCTCTAGTGGGGGCCATCGATGGGCGGGGTGGCGACACTGCCTCGTGGCTGGGTGGCGGCCGGCGGCTCTGGCGAGGTGGGGAACTGGGATTGGGGACGCTGGCGGTCGGTGGGGTTGGATGGAGGCGCGGCCTCGTGGCTGGGTGGCGGCCAGCGGCTCTGGCGGGGTGGGGAACTAGGGATTGGGGAGTGGGGACGCCAGCAGCCGACGGGGTTGGATGGAGGCGTGGCCGGCAGGGTTGGATGGAGGCGCGATCGACGGGGTTGGATGTAGGCGGCCGATGTGGAGGCTAGAGTCGGAGTCGCCGTCAGGGGCGCCGCCAGGGAGGGAGCGACGGACAGGGAGGAGACGGCCACGGTCTCACGGTCACGGGAGTACGGGACTACGGGAGTCTCTAGTCTCTCCACTTAGGGTTGTCAGACTTGTTATTGGGCTGGGCGCCTGGGCCCAAGAAGGGAAGCTTTGAAGATTGCTACCGCCTGTTGGCTGCTGGCCTGCTGCCGTTTAAGTTTAGTACCACCTCGCGAGGAGATGCCTTGACGAGGCTGGGCACCGCCTATTTGAGAGGGTAGCTGGCTACTGAACCACGCACCGTAGTGCACTAAATTCGAATATAACCGAATTTGAATTCGGGATATTCCGAATTAAAAGTAGAAAAGTAGAAATCGGTCAAAAAAAGTCTAAACCGATTTCATTCCGATTTCGAATTTGGTGTTCCATATTTCGAACCGAATTCGAATTTGTCCGAAAATATGAATTCGATCGAGTTAAATGTAGAAAACGATGCGGTTCGGTTCGGGATATTTCCGTACCGTTTTCATCCCTAGTGGTGCCCGCGGTTCTGAGGGACCCTGCTCGTATCAAGATTTCTACAAGACGCACCCACCCACGTTCACACCATCAGCTGAGCCCCTGGATGCGGAGCGTTGGCTTCGCATTCTAGAGCAAAAGTTTATGTTGCTCAACGTGACTGATGAGCAGAAAGTGCGCTTTGCAGTGCAACAGTTGTTGGGGTCCTCGAATGCATGGTGGGATACCTTCAATGCCATGCAGCAGCCAGATCACCAGGTGACCTGGCAGGAGTTCACCGCAGCATTTAGGGAATTTTATATTCCCGCTGGTGTCCTCAATAGAAAGCTAACTGAGTTCCTAGACCTACGGCAAGGTAGTTTGTCAGTGATGGACTACATCAATAAGTTCAATCACTTGTCCCAGTATGCTGGAACCCATGTAGATACAGATGAGAAGAGGGGCCGCTTCTATCGCGACCTCTCTTGCAGCCTACAGAAGGAGCTATATACTGGGAACTATCAGACCTTTGGGGCAATGATGAATGCTGCCATCGCTATGGAGGGCTTGCAGCGGGATTCTGTGGCAGAATGGAAGCGAAAGCGGGTGGCTACTGGGTCTTCTAGCCACCCCCATACTCAAAAAGTATAGGTTGTCAGGCGGGTGCCCTATCAATCATCAGGCGGGCATTCATTTCGACAGCCCCAGCAGACTTTCCAGGCTTCTTCCATGCAGTACCGTGCACCCACTCAGCAGGTGCAACCTCAGCGGTCTCAGGGACAGCAGGTCCCACCTCGTCTGGGATAGGAAAACAAGCCGGGTGCTTGTTTCAAATGTGGCAAAGATGGCCACTATGTCCGAGAGTGTCCCCAAAACCAGCCAGTCCAGTCTGCTCAACCATCGGCTAACTCCAGGCTAGTCAAGCGGACGATGATTAAGAAGTAAGTGCCAGTCAGCCGCTTTGGACAGGTGAATTTCACGGATGCTGAGCATATATTGCAACAGGAACCGGTGATGGCTGGTATGTTTACCATTGATTCCCATCCAGCTTATGTGTTGTATGATTCTGGTGCATCACATTTATTCATGAGCATGAGATTTATAAATTGGCACAATATACCCATTATGGCTATACCGTTTGCCTATAGAATCTGTACTCCGGGTGCGCAGATGTGCATCAATACTCGAGCGGACACAGTGAGCTTGGTATTAGCCACTCACACTTACCGTTTCCAGTTCATGATGCTGCCCGGGCAATGCATTGATGCAATTCTTGGGATGAACTGGTTGCGGGTGTATGGGGTAGTCATAGATCTGACGCAGAGAGTTGTGGAGTTACAGCTTCCTTCTTCTGAGGATAGGATGTCTCTTCTTGTACCCTCAGATCCAGTCTTACCTGTTGCTGCTCATGCTGAAGCATCTCCTGATCTTGCCTCTATTCCGGTAGTATGTGAGTTCCCGGATGTTTTTTTCTGAAGATCTACTTAGGTTGCCACCGGAGAGAGGTGGAATTCTCCATCGAGTTAGAGCCTGGTACTGTTCCTATCTCCATATGCCCATACCGCATGGCTCCGAAGGAATTGGCTAAAATGAAGAAGCAGTTGGAAGAGTTGCTAGAAAAGGGTTTCAACCGTCCTAGCTCTTCACCATGGGGTTGTCCAGCCATTTTTGTGAAGAAAAAAGATGACACTCTTCGGATGTGTGTGGATTACCGCCCTCTTAATGCGGTAACCATGAAGATCCTTTGCCCCGCATAGATACTTTGTTCGATCAATTGGCTGGTGTCGATGTGTTCTCCAAGATTGACCTTCGTTTAGGCTATCATCAGATCAATATTAGACCACAAGATTTACCAAAGATAGCTATTTCTACTAGGTATGGGCTGTATGAATACCTAGTAATGTCCTTCGGTCTCACCAACGCTCCTGCATTCTTCATGTATCTGATGAATTCAGTCTTTATGCCAGAGCTGAATAAGTTTGTTGTGGTATTCATTGATGATATCCTGATATATTCCAAGAACGATGAAGAGTATGCCCAACACCTTCGGATAGTGCTGGCTCGATTGAGGGAACACAAGTTGTATGCTAAATTCAGCAAGTGTGAATTCTGGTTAGATCAAGTGTAGTTTTTGGGGCATGTTTTGACACCTGACGGTATCTCCGTTGACCCCAGCAAAGTGCAAGATGTGCTGAATTGGAAGTCTCCCAAGTTAGTACACCAGATTCGTCAGTTCCTTAGTCTAGCTGGATACTATCGGCGTTTTATTCCAGACTTCTCCAAGATAGCTCAGCCGATGACCAAGCTGCTCCAAAAAGAAGCCAAGTTTGATTGGAGCCTAGCCTGTGAAGAAGCCTTCCAAGCTTTGAAGACATTTCTAACCACTGCTCCTGTTTTGGCCCAACCAGATATTGACCGACCCTTTAATGTATATTGTGATGCCTCGAAGACGGGGTTGGGATGTGGGCTGATGCAGGATGGGCGTGTGATAGCTTATGCTTCACGCCAACTGAAAAAGCACGAAGTAAATTACCTCACTTATGATTTAGAGCTGGCTGATGTGGTCCACGCTCTACAGATTTAGAGGCACTATCTGTTGGGCAATAAAGTACATATTTTTACAGATCATAAGAGTCTAAAATATATTTTCACTCAGTCTGAGTTGAATATGAGGCAAATGAGATGGTTGGAATTGATCAAGGATTATAACTTAGAGGTACATTACCATCCAGGAAAGGCCAATGTAGTAGCTGATGCCTTGAGCCGAAAGTCATATCAGGTTGAAGAAACACCCTTGTCTCTCAACCATGCAGAGGTGCTGGCTCACATTGCTTTGACCTCAGAATTGCTGGAGCGGATTATTCTAGAGCAAAGGCAAGACACTGAAGAAATTCCTCACATCAGAAAATTGATGCCGAAGGGCGTGGTCCTCACTTTAGTATTGATGAACAAAGAGTAGTGAGATACAAAGACATATTGGTGGTTCGATCAAATGAGGATCTGAGAAGGAAGATTTTGAATGAAGCCCATCATTCAAAACTTTCTATCCATCCTGGCAGCAATAAGATGTATCATGATTTGCACCACTTGTACTAGTGGTCCAACAAGAAGCAAGATATCACCCAGCATGTCACGGAGTGCGACACTTGTGGGAGAGTTAAAGCAGATCATATGCGTACTCTAGGATATTTACAGCCCTTGCTCATTCCTGTTTGAAAATGGAAAGATATCTCCATGGACTTTGTGGTGGGTTTGCCCCGCACATCCAAGGGCTATGATTCTATTTGGGTCATTGTGGACCGTCTCACTAAGTCTGCTCATTTTATCTCGGTGGACACTAAATATACAACCAAGAAGTATGCTGAGATATATTTTGATCGGATTATGACCCTACACGGAGTTCCCCTTACTATCATCTCTGATAGAGGGTCAGTTTTTGTCTCTCGTTTCTAGGAACTATAGCAATGTCTTGGTACTTGTCTTCTCAGAAGCTCAGCATATCATCCACAAACTGATGGTCAAACAGAAAAGGTGAACTAGGTGCTCGAGGATATGTTGAGAGCTTGTGCCATTTCTTTTCCTGAGAAGTGAGATGGATGCCTAAAGTTAGCTGAATTTTCTTACAATAATAGCTACCAAGAGAGTATTCGTATGACACCATTTGAAGCTCTGTATGAAAAAAAGTGTAGGACACCACTTAACTGGGTTGAAGTGGGAGACTATAGATATTTTGGGCATAATTTCATCAAAGAGGCTCGAAAGCAAGTAAGCATTATTCAGAGCCACTTGAAGGCAGCTCAGAGCCGACAGAAAGCTTATACAGACAAGCGAAGAAGGCCCTTACAGTTTGCAGTCGGAGATTGTGTGTATCTGAAGGTGTCTTATATGAGTGGGGTGCATCAGTTTGGTGTCCATGGCAAGCTAGCCCCTCGATATATGGGTCCTTACGAGGTTTTGACATAGTGTGGTCCAGTTGCTTATCGTCTCCAGTTTCTCGATATTTTATCGGCGGTACACGATGTGTTTCACGTCTCACAATTAAAGAAATGTTTGCGGGTACCAGATGAAGCTGTGGAAATTGAAGGACTTCGACTCCAGCCTGATTTGACTTATATTGAACACCCTGTAAAAATCCTGGATAAAAAGGAAAGAGTGACAAGAAACAGTGTGGTGAAGTTCTACAAGGTGCAGTGACAAAACCACTCAGAGGATGAGGCCACGTGGGAA